CTGTCTGAGCTCTTTAAAGACACCTGTCCACCCCACAGTCAGTCAGACGCCAACTACTACCATGGGCAAGACCAAAGAGCTGTCAAAAGACACCAGAGACAAAATTGTGGACATCCACAAGGCTGGAAAGGGCTACGGGGCAATTGCCAAGCAGCTTGGTGAAAATAGATCAACTGTTGGAGCAATTAGAAAATGGAAGAGGCTAAAGATACTGTCAGTCTCCCTCGGACTGGGGCTCCATGCAAGATCTCACCCCTTCGGGTATCACTGATGATAAGAAAGGTGAGGACCAGAACTACAAGGGAGGAGCTTGTCAATGACATGAAGAGAGCTGGGACCACAGTTTCAAAGGTCACTGTCAGTAGAACACTACGCCGTCATGGTTTCAAATCATGCATTGCACGGAAGGTTCCCCTGCTCAAGTCATCACATGTCCAGGCCCGTCTGAAGTTTGCCAGTGACCATCTGGATGATCCAGAGGAGGCATGGGGAGAGAAAGTCATGTGGTCAGATGAGACCAAAGTAGAACTTTTTGGTCTAAACTTCACTCGTCATGTTTGGAGGAAAAAGAAGGATGACTTGCATCCCAAGAACACCATCCCTACTGTGAAGCATGGGGGTGGTAACATCATGCTTTGGGGGTGCTTTTCTGTGAAGGGGACAGGACGACTGCACTGTATTAAGGAGAGGATGAATGGGGCCATTTATTGTGAGATTTTGAGAAACAACCACCTTCCCCCAGTCAGAGCATTGAAGATGGGTCGTGGCTGGGTCTTCCAACATGACAACGACCCGAAGCACACAGCCAGGATAACCAAGGAGTGGCTCCGTAAGAAGCATATCAAGGTTCTGAAGTGGCCTAGCCAGTCTCCAGACCTAAATCCAATAGAACATCTTTGGAGGGAGCTGAAACTCCGTGTTGCTCAGCGACAGCCCCGAAACCTGACAGATCTAGAGGAGATCTGTGTGGAGGAGTGGGCCAATATCCCTGTTGCAGTGTGTGCAAACCTGGTCAAGAACTACAGGAAACGTTTGACCTCCATAATTGCAAAGGCTTCTGTACCAAATATTAACACTGATTTTCTCAGATGTTCAAATACTTATATTCAGCAGTGCAAGACAAATCAATTCTTTAAAAATCATACAATGTGATTTCCTGAATTTTTTCTTTTAATTCTGTCTCTCAGAGTGGAAATGCACCTACAATGTGAATTTCAGACCCCTCCATGATTTCTAAGTGGGAAAACTTGCAAAATCGCAGGGTGTTCAAATACTTCTGTTCCTCACTGTACCTGATTTGCATTTCTGGGTAGATAGTGCCTGTGCGCGCCACCCTATCCACACCGCCATTGGCGCCTAGCCATGTCAGTCACTGGGTCCTGGCCCGAGATTCTCCTCCGGCACCCGTCAATCGTCGTGCAAAGCTGACAGGGGAGAGACCAGTGTGTTAATAATACAGGTCTCTCTCCTGCCAGCAAGGACATGCTTCTTTGTATTTTTCTGCACAGCAGCATGTCTCCATTGTAAATTGGCACCTAATGTGAATCGCACACAGTTAACCCTTTGATTACCCCAGATGTTAACCCCTTCCTGCCCCGTGTCATTAGTACAGTGTAAGTGCTTTTTATTAGCACTGATCGCTGTATTAGTGTCACTCGGGATGTCAGTGGCAGTTAGTCAGTTCCCACCCAGTGTCAGAATGCCCGCTGCGGTCCCGCTATAAATCATTGATCGCCGTCATTACTAGTATAGAAAAAAATTATATCCCAGTTGTCACGGTATAGGGGCCCCTGCCAATTATTGATTTTACTTAATCCCCTTATTAATTCCCTGTACCAAAAATCCCTCAGAATCAATCACTGTATGTCCTCCGTGTCACCCTGCCAAATGGCCATATTCAATTACTGTAGCTTCCCTCCCCCCTGCCAGTTTGCTACATGTCCCCAAATTACAGTAAATAATTTCCTGCACCAGGTCCTTCTGATGTCTCCAGGGGGCCCAGTGTCATCCGGGCCCCCCTCACTCTGTCCCCTGTCTACAAACATGATTTCTCCCTGTTGTCCACTGACCCCCCTCCACTTCTCATCCTGCCGCAGGTGGACGAGAGGTGCTGCTTTCACCACCCCTGCCACTATCCTCTCCCCCTCCTGTGCGGCCGGAGTCGAGAGGGTGGCGTGGTTCACACCTCTCCGTTGAGAAGTGCGAACCTCCCGCAGGGATGTCCAGGCTGCGGCGTCTCACTGACGCCACCCCAGCCCTGTCATCCGCAGCGCGGGCACGGTCATGAGAAGCGCAGCCCGTGTCCAGGAGGCGTGCCTCGTTGACGGGCAATGAGGCATACCAGCTCCGGCCCGCCCCGTTTACCAAGATGACCAGGGAGTGTCCTGCTTCAGCTTAAGAAGCTGCTGCCGGGCGCTCCGGTCATCTTCTCCTCTGCTGCACAGCCAAAGGAGGGAGCCCAGCTGCGGCGGGACCCTCGTGGCTAAGACTCTGCCCTGCCAAGACCTCCAGACAAGGGGGGGAACCGCACCCAAGCCTGCCCGAGACCCCAATCCAGGGGATTGTCTGCCAGTGCCTGAGACCCCCAGCCCAGGGGGATTGCCTACCAGTGCCTGAGACCCCAGTCCAAGGGGATTGCCTACCGGTGCCCGAGACCCTAGTCCAAGGGTAATTGCCTGCCGGTGCCTGAGACCCCAGTCCAAGGGGATTGCCTGCCGGTGCCTGAGACCCCAGTCCAAGGGGACTGCCTGCCGGTGCCTGAGACCCCAGTCCAAGGGGATTGCCTACCAGTTGCCTTAGACCCCAGTCCAGGGGGATTGCCTACAAGTTGCCTGAGACCCCAGTCCAGGGGGATTGCCTACCAGTTGCCTGAGACCCCAGTCCAGGGGGATTGCCTACCAGTTGCCTGAGACCCCAGTCCAGGGAGAATTGCCTGCCAGCTGCCTGAGACCCCGGTCCAACAGGAGAGACCACCCGCCTACTCCAGACCTTTAACAGGTACCTGTGTCTTACTTTCTATCCCTGGGAGACCAGGCACCCTGTCGGATCCGTGAGCATATGCTTTTCCCTGTTTTACTTGAACTGCTCCCGTGTTGACCCCCCTACATCCCCTGTTGGATTACAATCTGCTACAGAGGCTCTTCCTTGCCCCCTGTACTGGACTATAAGTGTTTCAGCCCCTCCTTGCTGTTCTCTTGCCGCTGAGGTCACCCTTCCGGTGAACCCCCCTATTGAGTGACTGTCATCTTTTGTCTCAATAAAGCTTTGTGTGTTTGCCATCTACTCTGTGTGTTCAGTCCTGCCCACCCTCCGTCACACCAGTATATATACCGCCATTTGTAGATGCTATAACTTTCACATACATTACATTCATTTACATGTATTGGGATTTTTTTTTAGCAAAGACACATAGCAGAATACATTTTGGCCTAAAATTATGAAGAAATTTACTTTTTTAAATTTTTTTTATTGGACGTGTTTAATAGCAAAAAGTCAAAAATAAATTTATTTTTAAAAAATTGTCTGTCCTTTTTGTTTATAGCGCAAAAACTAAAAAATGCACAGGTGATTAAATACCACCAAAAGAAAGCTCCATTTGTGGGAAAAAAAATACATAAATTTCATTTATATACAGCATTGCATGACTGCGCAATTAAAGTAACACAGCGCCGTATCGCAAAACATGGCCTGATCAGGAAGGGGGGTAAATCCTCTGGAGGGCAAGTACACAGCGAATCTGCAGTGTAAACACATGGGCAAGAAAACTGAATGTATTCCAAAGCCTAGTTTCCAACACTGCAGTCATGTGCATTTAAAAAAAAAAAGGACAGTTTGCTGCATTTTTCTGCATCGTAATGCAACGCAATTGTACAGGAATGCATGCACAGGCATATAAAAGTGTGGAAAGATGTGTAAAAGCAAATTAGTAAAGAAAAATTAAATGAAAAAAATTAAAAAAAAAAAAAGTGCCACAAACTCACTGAAAAAGTGCGTGAACATGCATGCAGAAATGCACTGTACAAGCAGAGATTGTGGTATAAATCAGCTCTTCTATTGACTATAAAGTGGTTGTAAACCTCAGACATGAAATATGAAAATTTACTTTTCTCAATTAGGCCTTGTTCACACCTGTGCGTTTTTTTTTTTTTGCACTTTGCAGAACAAGAAACATAGGAAACCATGTTACAGTCCATGTAACATGGTTTCCTGAGATACATTCACATCTATGCCTTTTTTTTAGCCGCTGCTTTTTGGGAAGGGTCAAGGACTTTTTAAATTCAAAACAGTACGTTTTTGGTTCAATAGACCATAATGGAGATGCTGCAGAAAAGGCATGTAGTGCGTTTTTGATGCGTTTTGCATTTTTAATCTGTTCAACAACAAACTGGCCCAAAAAAAGCTTAACAAATGCAAAATACATCGAAAAGCGTGTGCAAAAATGCAAAAACATAACAAAAGCAAACTGCATAGGTGTGAACCAGATTTTAGGAGCACTAAATGTCATTTCTGACTGCTGCTTCTTTCCTCTGCTATGAGTCACTTTAGACTTCAGAAGTTTTCCTAACACAAAGAGAAAATTGGTGACAAGGGAGGGACCTGCAGCAGATTGACAGCTTCAGCTCTGTTTTTTGTGAGCTGTGTGGAGGGGGGTGGGGCGCTTCTGTTCAATCAGCTCTCAGAGCACTTCTCACTGAGCTCTGCAGAATGTAACTTCAGTTCTCTGCCCCCTTTTTTCTGAACTCTCAGACAAGCTTTATAAATTTTGCACTTTGAACATGTGTAGAGAAAAGAAGGCTGCAAATAAACTGGTACAACTTAAGTAGGAGGATTTGTTTAATCTCTGTGTATCACCTGAAGCCAGTCATATGTAAGGCTTTACAACCATTTTAACCACTTGCTGACTGCAGATAGCCGAATGACGGCTACACTGTGGCCGGCCAGTACTGGGAGGACATTATATGATGTCCTCCCAGAACGCACCCGGCGATGCGGTAAAAGGCCAATCACAGTGGCCTTTTACCACGTGATCAGCCGTGTCCAATGACAAAGCAGATCACCAGTAAATGCAGTTTCCGGTTATCGGCTGCACTTTCCTCACACCGTCACAGCGTGAGAAAAGTACTGCTGATAAACCAGCAATTGTCAGAGGACGGATCGGCACTGATGATCAGTGCCTAGCAGTGCCGCCCAGCAGTGCCACCCACCTGTGCCCAGCAGTGCCACCCACCTGTGCCGCCCAGCAGTGTCCATCAGTGCCACCAGTCAGTGCCGCCTATCAGTGCCCATCATTGTTACATAGCAGTGCCAGCTCATCAGTGCTGCCTATCAGTGCCCGTCAGTGTTACCTATCAGTGCCCATCAGTGCTGTCTATCAGTGCAACCTCATCAATGAACATCAGTGAAGGAGAAAAATTACCTGCCTTCAAAATTTTATAATAGAAACAAAGAAAAAAAGGTTTTTTTTTTCTAAATTTTTGCTATTTTTTGTTTATAGCTCAAAAAATAAAACACCCAGCAGCAAGTACACAACACCAAAAGAAAGCTCTATTTGTGTGAAAAAAAATGATAAAAATGTCATATGGGTGCAGTGTTGCATGACCGCGCAATTGTCACTCAAAGTGCGACAGCACTGAAAGTTGATAATTGGCCTGGGTGGGAAGGGGGTATAAGTGTCTGGTAGGCAAGTGGTTAAAGAGTAACTCCACTTTTGTTCAGAATAAAGCATTCCCCTCGGGGTGATCTATGTACATTGCAAAGATTTTAACAAACTTTGTTGCAGATTTCTACCTTTTTGTATTCTGAAGAAATAGCAGCTTGTCAGTGTCCATGTGCAGAGTGAATGTGGAAAGGAAGTGATTACAAAATGATCAATCAGCTGCTGCACTTGCAGGGTTCTAATAATTGCAGGTCTTGCATCGCTTTAGATGTCATTTCCCTTTGTGAGTATCTCACCAGAAATGATATTTTTGTTGCAGAGGATGCCAAAAATCTGACTTGTACCTTAGTGTAGACTTCTGGGAAAATTAGTCAGCCAATCACACAAACAAGAAATTACATTTCTGGGGGTGGCAATATGGTTACCTGGAGGCGTTCTATATTGGTGTACAGAACACCTGCAGGTAGCTATATTGCATTGTACAGAAGAGTACAGCGCTACAGAGTGAAAAGGAAAGGGAATTTTTAATAACATTCAATCACAATACAACTTGTGTCACAATTGTATACGCTACATATTTATTTTTATATTTGCTATATTTTTTTTTCCGATGAAAGTGGAGTTACTTTTTTTAAAGCAGTATTGAACTCAAAAGCAAACATTTATTGTATTGTAGCTTACCAATTCTTAGATGTGATGGCTGCATTAGTTTTCTTTTTTAAGCTTTTTGGGTTTTTTTTGTGATCTGGCCCCTAAAGCCAGCCATAGATGGATCGAATCTCTTCCAGGTCAGCAGGGACAGGCCAAGATTCAGTCCATCTATGAGCAGACTGGTTGTACTGAAGTCGATCCATCGATTGACTTCAGTACAACCAGCCTGTTGGATTTTTTTTTTTTATGCAATGCTATAGCCACTGGCAATGATCTTTGTTTTCTGCCTGTAGGGCAGGCTCCTTGCCGGCAGAACACAATAGCACTGCAGGACAGATTCCCTCAACACTGACTGTGTTGATGGAGGAATGGAGCAATTTTCTTGCCTTCCACTTGTAGTGGGGAGAATGGAGCAATTTTCTTTCCTTCCACTTGTGGTGGAAGGAAAGAACGTTGCACAGTCTATGAGCTGTTTCAACAGAACAAGCTGTCCTGCAGATGTAGCAGTTAGAGGGTTGAGAGTGAGATAAATAATTTAACATTGACAGGGGTGCTTACAATGATAAGCTTTTATTCATTTTTGTAAAACCTTAATCCCAAAAGGAAAAAAAAAAACAAACTGTTTGCTGTAGCTGCTTCAAAAGTGTTAGCTGGAGCTTGGCTTTAATTTGTTTAGTGTATCAAATCTGCTGGTACATCTAACATTACCCTTCCCCCAGACTGTCAGTGCTGCTCTCAAATGTGTTTCTTTTACCCCAGGTTCACACATATGTGTCTTCTGCAGTGTTTTTCAGAAATGCTCAGCAGTCCATTTAACATGATTTCCTGTGGGACAGGTTCACATCTACTCGTTTTCACCCGGTGCGTTTTTTGGAAAGGGTCAAGGACTTTTTTAATGCAAAACATTGCGTTTGTGCTTCTATAGACTTCAGTGGGAATGCTGCAGAAAAGCATGGTCGCGTTTTTGATGAGTTTTGCGTTTAAAATCTGCCTAGCAACAAGAAAAATTAAAGAAAATGTAAAAATAAAAATAAAAACGCATTGAAAATGCAGCAAAAATGCAAGTGCAGAAACGCCTTAAACGCAACCTGCATAGGTGTGAACCTAGCCTTATCCAGAATGTAGGTACTGTGATAACAAGAAGTGTGTAATGCAGGCCATTGACAGGTCGTTTATCGGCCAAATTTTCTTCAGCATGAAAAATCGGCCGATATTCATGCAGTTAGTGGGGCCAGCCTGTGGATCTTCTCATTTAGTTTTATCGGTCATGCTGGAAAATCCGTGAAAAACGGCCATTTTTCGTGGACATTGGTGGCAGCATCGGCAAAGGGGTAGACAGATTTTTCGTTTATCGGCCGAAAATTGGGCCGATAAACAGCCCATCTATGGCCTGCCTTACTGGGTTGATCACCACGTGAAAAAAAAAAAAAGCAGCCAGCACATCTAACGATTGGTAGATTGCTAAACTATATTATATTTTTGGTTTTGGATTTAATACCACTTTTAGTCTGTGGATAATGCCGGACATCAGGTGAGAATAGAAGCAAGAGCTACTTTTTAATGCTTTGGTGCTGCTGAGGTTGTGCTTTAAGAAGGCAGATAATATGATCAATCAAAGATTGGCATCAGCAAGACATAGCATGTTACTTCTGCCAGGCAGGAGACTTGAATCGGTTATCAGTTAAAGGCTGATATTGGCAGGACATCAGTGGAGTAAAAGAAGCAAAGAGCTACCCTTTGGAGCTGCTGATGTTGTTCTTTAAGAAGGATTGCTCAGCCAGTTCAGCAGGCTGTAAACATAAACCAGATGACAGGCAAAGATGGGAATCAGGTGAGCAGACACGCACTGACTGTGCCAAAGGAATGTGGAATGCAGCATCTGATAGCACGGGAATATTGATAGAGTGTTCAAGAGGGTCTGATACTAGATTCAAGCCTGTAGCCTGAGAAGCTGATTGGATTTTTCTCTAAAAACTGGGTTGTCACAAGCCCTACATTCCATTTAGCATATGAACCTTTTTTACTGATTTTTGCTGAAGCTGTTTAGATATGTATTTGTGTGCATTTGGAGGATTTTCATGCAAAGGGGTTTGTGTGTATGGTTATACTACCCTGGCAACATTCAATCTTGTCTGATTTTGGATGCTCAGTAGGATCAGGCCTGGTCAGTACCTGGATGGGAGACTGCCTAGGAATACCTATATATAAACAGTGCAGAGCTAAAATAAACGTGAATAAATGTAAATAAATAATGCAAAAAAAACCCCAGTGCACAAAAGGGGTTAAACTATTATACAGTGCGACACGTGAATTCCCAACAGGAATAATAGATGTGTAAAAGTGACCAGTGTCCAGACCAACACTCTGAAAAATACCTCAAATAACACTCTGCCGTGATACATACAGAAATTGCACAATAATAAATACAGCAAATAAAATGTCCATGAAAGTGCTCAGAACACAATATTCAAGCAAGTGCTGCTATGTGTTCACTCCGTGCAAATCCTTAGTGGCTGAAGTGCCCCCTCACCTCCTAAATCGACCCTACAGGGTCAGCTCGCTCTGAGAATTAAAACCACTCTGAATGGCAACAGGTTCCTGTTCAAATCCACTCCCAAGTCCTCAGAGGAGGTATGTCCGAGCCCCTGTGTCCTTGCCCAAACTCAAAAAGGCCTATGAAAAAGGTACCAGGGGCATCTCATGGGGCCCCCTACTGACCCCGGGCCCTCGGGCAGTGCCAGAGTTTCCCAATCTGCCCCTGCTGGGAGCTCAATCAGGGCAATGAGCAGAGCAGTGGAATGGGGAGGCATCTTCCTGAATCCTGATTACTCTGCGCTCCCTACAGGCAGGATTGTGAACAAACCATTTACCCAGCAATGCTAGTGCCAGTATGGCCTGCATTTGGAAAAAAAGCTATGTGAGTGTCAGGACCTTGGCCATCTGCCGGTGGCACTGTTGTTTCCAGAGCAGAAGGTCACAGTTCTGGTGGCCAACAGTGGGTGTCTCCTATCATCCAGCTTATCCTAGTAATTAGGCTGCTCCTGATACTGGCTCCTGGAAGGTATTTAGCCCTGGTTCACACTGCAGCGGTGCAGGTAATCGCATGTGATTCGCACAGGAACCGCACTGCATTCCTGTACAAATCACACCCCTCTCATCGTTCTGCTAAACGAGGTGCGTTGTGCAGAATCGGATCGCATAGGTGTGAAAACCTATGCGATCCGATTTTAGTGTGAACCAAAAAAGGGTCCTGCGCCTTTTTGGAGCGGGTGTGGTGCGAATAGATCGATACAAAATGTATGGTTCTAATTGCACCGCATACAAATCGCATGTGATTTGTACAGGAATGCTGTTCGGTTCCTGTGTGAATCACATGGGATTATCCACACCGCTGCAGTGTGAATCAGAGCTTAATCTTACTTGGTCTGGTTCCTGATTCCTTGAGGTGTAGTCCACTGATCTGGTCATCTCTTCTGGCATGTGTGTGTGTGTCTGTGTGTGTCTGTGTGTGTAATGGGATTTATGTATGTGTGTGTATGGGAGTTTATGTATTTGTGTGTGTATGTATGTTTGTACATTATTTTTAGTCCTGACCCCCAACTCTGTAGATCAGAACTGCATTTCTATGATAGCAGGACTGCTTTTTGTAGGGTTTGTTCACAATAGTGGACTGCCGCTTCAATGGTCAGAGCTGTTCAGATGTTTGACAGTTACAGCACAGCTCCATTCATATGAATGGATCACACTCAGCGAGCAGTAGTGCCCTCCAAATACTACAGGGGTATAATTCCTGCCACGGCCACAGCATGTGTACAATCCTTGTTTATAAAAAGGTGAAGGGACAGATGTGTACAATCCTGGCTGCTAAAGTGGAAGCAGTTGGGGGTGGGGGGAGGTGTGTGTGGTGCTGGGGTGTTTAAAAACGTGGTTCAACTGCCTGGTTTTACCATCCCCTAACCTCAAGTGCAAGTGAGCCTTTAGACTGGGTTGCCTCCAGACTGAAAAAAATTGTGCAGTGTGCCT